GCCCACTTGAACCCCTAGGTCTAACTTCAAGAGAAGGGACTCACACCCTCCAGTCTCCGGAGCAGGGATCCTGCAAGGAACTAATGATCCTCGGATAATAGTTGCCACTCCCCCACCCCTTCTCTGGTGTCGTGGTTGGTCGAGCACCTGAAACCCTTCCGGGCACATTTCTGAGAGGGGGACTCCTCCCTCATGGCCCAGCCAGGTTTCAGTAATAGATGTCAGGTCTGCCCCCTCTTCAAGTGTTAAGTTAAGCAAGAGCGTTGCTAAATGAGTTTCACCACATTTTACAAGTTGGCCACTGCCACCCGGTCACATGACCATCAGGCCATGCCCACAAAATAGGCCACACCTACAGAATAGGTTCTAAAATATTTTGAAACTTACCACTGGCTCATCACCTCTGAAAATCAATAAAATGGAAGGTGCATGAATTTGACTTCAAAGCTGTTGTTTGTTTGAATAAATATATCATTTGTAACATTCCTAATTTTCTCATTTTTCCCTAGGTCTTGCTGGTTAAAAAAGAAGTGAATCCAGTGGAATTAGACTTCCTTCTGCGTTTTCCCTTTAAAGCTGGCTTGACATCTCCAGTAGAATTCTTATTAGGTCAAGGATGGGGTGGAATTAAGGTGTGCTCAAAACGACTATTTGTAGCCTAATCTCTTCTTAGTAACTTAGAGGGAGCCATGAAAAGTGCTAGGCAGGGGTGGGTTCCAGAAGCCACTCCTGCCGCTTTGCTCGTGGGCGCACAGTGCGTACATGCACTTCATGTGCGCTGCACGTGCATGCCCAGTACAATACAAATTATTCTGCGCATGCGCAGAATCAAAAACAAGATGGCGCCGCCTATGGCGCCACCAGGAGAACCATTTCAGGACCTTAGCAGGCCTGGGTTGCTGCCAGTTCCAGTGACCCAGGCCGCCAAACCACTATCGAACTGGTCCAAACCAGTAGGAACCCACCACTCGTGCTAGGCCTCATATCTGTAGTAGAGTCCATAATAGATATAAACATCTTCATGAACAATTTGCTTCAGTTACAAGAACAGGTGCTGGCTAGGCAGTGCATGCCTTTTGGTAGGCCATCTTTATACTTAGTTTTAAAGGTGAGATATGAGCTGCAGGACAGCAAAGAACTGGAGTAAGATATGCAAGAGGAAACATGGTATAAGGGTGATTTTACAACACAGATTTCAAAAGTAGTTGCAGTTTGTTACTCATGTAGTGGCTGGACAGGTATGAATTAGTTCTGAATAAATTCTAATACCAAATCTGCATCAATCCAAACCATTCAAATCTGTTCGGGGAGGTCCAAGAAGCAGATGGATTCTTCATCATTGATTAGTGGCAGTATTATGGCATCACTTGGCAAAAACAGTTTATCCTGTTGGGTATCATTGACCTTGGCCCACATCCAGTCCCTTACCTTGCTGTTTTCTATAGTGGAAAATACATTAGACTGCCAAGATCAAGGGCTGTTTTAATCCCAGAGAAATGGCTGGGTCCTATTAAAGACCACCACAACGGAAAACATGTTGTACTTGGATAACCACGTTATACTCATTAACATAGTTTTGTGATAAATTGTTTCTTTAAGTACAAACAGTCTTCCATGTCTGAGAAGTGCAGGTTGCTGGGGAGGGAGGCATTTAAAAATTGTTCATCAGAACTGACTAGGATATTTTATAATAAAATGGCAATGTCGTAAATGGATAAAGCTAAAGAAACCATATGGGAAGTATGCCTTAGTAACTTTGTACATCTGGAGATGAAAAACGTGTCCTTTCTTATAACCTTTTAAAGGACCAAAATATGGTCTAAATTTGACTGCCTGCAGATTTAGGTCCCCTTAGAAACAAAAACTTTAACATCATATAGTCACTCCCCTCCTTCCCCAGTGTTCGTGCAACCTGACTTTCTTTAGTTAAGTTGTCCAAGGCAAGGATAGTTGGTCCTTTTGTACCCACTTTGATCCTTTTGACACACTTGGAAGAAGAAAGAGATCAGCAAGACAAGTCAGGAATTTCCTAGAGGGACCTAGCTGAGGTTTTTTTTTTTCCTCAACAGAGGTTACACAATAGTCTGCCATTGCTGCTATTGCAATAGGCAAAACAGTTCATTATCCCCTCTTAATATTTTACTAATACTGGAGTGGCTTCATTTCTTTCTGTTGCAACACATCTAAAACATAGATGGAGAATGATAAGAACCAAGTGATCTAACTAGCCCCTCGCGGGAATTGGGAATTAGAGAACACTGCAACTCCTGTTGCTGTATCCCCAGGTACTTTCTGAAATGGACGAATTCAAAAACCTGGACAGCGATATTGAAGGCTCTGCGAAGCGATGGAAAAAATTTGTAGAATCGGAAACCCCAGAAAAGGAAGTTTTCCCGAAGGAGTGGAAGAATAAGACTGCCCTGCAAAAGCTGTGCATGATGCGGTGCATGAGGCCAGACCGCATGACCTACGCAGTCAAGTATGTATCCCGTTGTCTTATGCAGGCTTGGAAAATAGGAAATCTGAGGGTGCTTCACCTGGAGCTGAAGAATATTGTCATGGGGAACATCTCATATTATAGCTTGATATGTAATTCCAAGGATCGGAGTCTTCTGGTTTACTCTGGCCTTTTTCATGCTATACAGTCAAGAAGAGGACATAGGTTTGTACAGTCCAGAGGTTCAAAGGCAAGCAACAGGGACATCCATCTTGCAGATAGGCACACATAGACATGGGCACGAGGGCTCAGACAGATCTATATATCAGTGATAGGATTCAAATAATTTAACAACTGGTTCTCTGCCCTAATGACCAGTTGGGTAGGCGGGGCTCAGTATTCATATGACTGGGTAGGCGTGGTCAACTCAACATTACTCATGTCGATGGGCGCTTCGCCTTTGCTGTTACAATGTAATAAGGGTTAACTGGAGAGGGAGCATCTGTAAGGAGGGCAGTAAAGATTAGGCTAGAAACAACACCAGAATGTTTCTTTCCTGCCTTCCTTACAGGATTAGCCTTGTAAAGTAGAAAAAAACAAAAGGAGATTTCTTCCAACAACTGGTTCTCCCAACTGCTTAGAAAGTTAACAACCGGTTCTCCTGAATAGGTGCAAACTGGCTGAATCCCACCACTGCTATATATGTATATCACTCATTTTGTGTTCTTTTATCAACAATTTCCGAAAGCTTGAGCTGATATCAAACACTGATAATTCTGAAAAAATCCAAGCATATAGGAGCAGTTGCAAATGGTCAACTAGATTTTATTTAGGGGTTTGCTTGGTCTCATAATTATAGTTACTTCTGTGGTTTTAACAATACAAACAAAAACATCCCTTTTTCATGCTTGTAAATGATGAATCTACCCTACCTCAGAAACGGAATTACAGATTTATGCTATTTAAATTAATAGCACAAAACCCCTCAAGATTGGTTGCTTGGGGCTCAAGTGAAAAATGTACTAACGAGCAGACGGTTTCCCTGAGAATAAGGATAGGTAATCAGATTTTTTTTTAAAAAAAATATTTTTATTACACCTGTGGTCCTCAAGCAATGTGACCAGTAGACAGGGATCTGGAGACCTGTAGTCCAAAACATTTGGAGGACACTATGTACAAAACCATTCATACAGAAAGCTAATAATGTATTAGAGAAATACTACTGAATTCTATTGGACCTTGCCATTTCCAGTGCTATTACACATAGAGCATCTCTGCCATCAGTTTATAGTGGAGAAAGGGCCAACCTCAGTTATTTATATCTCTGTTTTATCCGTGTGTGTCTAAATCTGCCTGGTGGGATTCAGTAGAACTTACTTTTAAGCAGTTGTTGACAGGATAACAAGCTAAAGTCCCTGTGACTGAAACTGAGTGAACTGATAATTCCCCAGACTGTTTGTTTTAATAGTCTATCTGGCTGCTTCTATTCCTCCCTCTCTGCCCCTCTCCTTCCCTCCCTTTCCCAAAAAATATATATGACTTTCTCAGAAACTTTGTCGAAGAGAAGATGGGAAGTAAATTTGTTGAAGGGCGTAGTGTTGAATTCTCAAAGTCCTATGAAGAAAGCAGTCAATCCACACCAATATTTTTCATTCTTTCTCCTGGAGTGGATCCCCTGAAGGATGTTGAAGCCCTAGGTAAGTTGATATAGCATTGCTGATAAATGTTCCCTATAGATAATATGACATTGGCTGCTGCAGTCCACAGATAGACAACCCAGTTATTAATTTTATAGATAGTTATACTGTGTTTCCCCAAAAATAAAACAGAGTCTTATTTTCTTTTGACCCCAGAAATAAGTATTTGGCCTTATTTTCAGGGAGGTCCTATTATTTTTGAGGTGCACGAGGCCCCTTAACCTTGGCCCGTGCCCCGTGCGGCTCAGCTGATCCAGAGAGGGACAGAAGTTCTGTTTCTGGTACACTCTTGCCAGCCCTAGCATCGCTGGGCCTGCTTCTTTTTTTGTGGCCGCCACTAAGACAATGGGCGTGGGAACTAGAGTTTGCAGGAGTGGCCTCCATGAGGCCGTTCCACGTGGATGGCAGGTCCATGCGGGGCACTTGGAACATGTTCCTCCCTTCCCCATCAGGAAATGGGAACTGGTTGTGCATTCATTTAAATATTTTAGGGGAGAGCTTATTTTCGGGGGAGGGCTTATTTTAGGGCATGCACTCAAAATCCCGATTGGGCTTATTATCCTGGAAGGTCTTATTTTGGGGGAAGAGGGTATACAGACCTGGACAATGTGCAAGGAAATCAGAACAAAAACAAGCAATGAAGATGTCCAGTTCTTTAACTGTGTTATTGCTCCTAGGTCAAAAGCTTGGCTTCACCATAGACAATGGGAAAATCCATAATGTGTCCCTGGGACAGGGGCAAGAGGTTGTGGCTGAAAATGCTCTGGATGTGGCTGCAGAAGAAGGGCATTGGGTCATTCTTCAGGTATTGAATACCCATAGATTTCCTGTTTACAGTTCCTAGATTTGTCAGCTGCACTGACTCCACACACTATTCCTTTTCCTACGTGATTAAACAATTAGTCAATGCATAGTCCACACAAATTGCACAAACTGTCTGCATTCTGATCCAAAAACAAACCCACAATAAATAAATTTCCAAATATTTGCTTACCCCAGAAATGCAGAATGCACATCAACAGAGGCTGTCACAAGGCAACCACACAATTACATGCCAAGGGTCCTGTTACAACCTTTAGACAGAAGCATCCCACATTTTAGTTAAATTTGTTAAGTTATAATGTGAATACCCCCCTTCCCTCTGATTAACAGGAGGGACATTTTTAGTAATAAGACTGATCCAAATAGCACACATTGTTACGTAATAGCATTACTCATTAAATACAAAAGATATCAGATGCTGCTCTGGGCTAGCACAAAGAGAAGACATTATAAATAACACACTCATGATAATACACATCCAGTGCAGGCAACTTTAAACACACATAGCAGAGTCAGCAAAGAATTGCCCTACCAGAGCTTTATAGACAAATGCAGGAGGCTGAGAATTTTCTCAACGAGAGGGGGGTCAAAGCTTTGGAACAGGAGACAAGGGCAGTTTAAAGTAGCAGTCCAATCATTGCCAGACCAAAAAGACAAGTTAAACTTCCTCAGTGCCAAGTCATTTAATTTTACAATCTTGCAGAATATACATCTGGTAGCCAAGTGGCTGAGCACGCTGGATAAGAAAGTTGAACGCTACAGCATTGGGAGCCACGACGATTACCGCGTATTTATGAGTGCTGAACCTGCTCCTTGTCCTGATGCTCACATTATTCCTCAGGGCCTGCTAGAAAATGCCATTAAAATCACAAATGAGCCTCCAACTGGCATGCATGCCAACTTACACAAGGCTCTCGACCTCTTTACACAGGTAAACAAACTCCTCTGTCCAATTTGTTATACCTTTCTAGCCTCAAGTCCTAGTTCTTAAATACTAACACACCAATTGGTTTGATTTATTTGGGAGGACTGCCAGCACTTTATTGGTTAGAACAGATGCTTAAGTTTTGTCTTGCTTCTGGAGATTAGGACAGCCTTTGTGTTCTGAACATGTGCTACTTATTTCCTTCAAGTTTCTAATATCTTTTTTCTAGTTTGCCTAAGTAAATTTTTAGACCTTTACGACGAGCCAAGCGACAGAAAACATCATAACAAGATGAGGACTTAGAAGAATTGTCACTATGTCAAAAACATAGCTGAGGTCAAGCTTGATCCTAAAATTACTCCTTTCCTTGCATCTGGGAGAACCATTCCCATTCTGTATATCATAACTGACTCCTTCTGGCCAAAATACTAAAACTGAAAAAGCAGGTATACATGTAGGAACAGAATTCAGATCTCAAATGATTTTTTTAAACAAGGACTTTAGTGGTAGTAGGTCATCTGAAGATATTAAAATACTAAAGAAATTAAGAACTTTAAGGTTCAGTCAAAACTTGTGTAAGACAAAACTATGGTACCACCTTAAAGCCTTAAAAACTACAACTAGAATTTCCTGGCAGCCTTTTAGTCTACTCTTCCTTGCTTCTGATTTTTATTTAATTTTCCACCGTTAATACCTTTCCACCGTTAATCTATTAATAGAATTTTCCATTCTATTAATTAATTAATAGAATTAATTCTATTTAATTTTATATTCTCTGTCTGAATACTACAGTAACTCTAAATTCTCTAGAAAGAATTGGAATTGTAGGGTTCCTAATGCCCTGGGCATTTTCACAAGTGCAGTATTTTCTTAGACCAATAGTGAAGTTTAGATTATGGTTCTCAAGAAAATGCCTTTGTCATTGCTCTGCTTTTGGAGTTCTCAGTTGAATTTCCAAAATAGGAGGAGTATTTTACACCCATCTTACAACATCACATTTATACTTAGCTGCTGTGAGTGAGGGTATTTGAAATTTAGCTTATAGCTTCTGTAACCCTGGTGAGGACGCCATTTATAGCAATAGCAATAGCAATAGCAGTAGACTTATATACCGCTTCATAGGCCTTTCAGGCCTCTCTAAGCGGTTTACAGAGAGTCAGCATATTGCCCCCAACAATCTGGGTCCTCATTTTACCCACCTCGGAAGGATGGAAGGCTGAGTCAACCCTGAGCCGGTGAGATTTGAACCGCTGACCTGCTGATCTAGCAGTAGCCTGCAGTGCTGCATTTAACCACTGCGCCACCTTGGCTTATTTTTAAGTCTGTATTTTAATTAGTCAATGAAGTATATTTCTACTGTTAAATGAAAGCTTGGTAGATTGCTTTAATTGTACAGTGCTAGGTTTTTAGGGGAAGGGTGTTTTTGTGGCAGGTTTTTGTATGTTTTGTATTATTATTCTTATTATATGAAGTCATTACCATTTTTTGCAACATGATTTGTATTGGTAACTGGAAAATGTTGTATTTAAAATTATAATAATATAAAGATAGGGTACTATTTCTGTCTTTAATTACGGATATGGCCAGATAACTATTTAACATGAATTACAATAGTACTTTTAAAAGATTGTGGTCACAATATGGCATTCCCCATAAAACTATAATGAGCACATAAGGTCTAATGGAGCCCTCTTCCCAATACATTAGTGCCTAACTAAAACCCTATTAAAGTGATGGATGAGTAGCCCTAAAGACAGATACACCTTAAGAAATCATGCTGTTCGTTCCGCCATTCTCCTGAAAACAGGAAGCATTCTGCACTCTGATGGAGATCAAATGAGAGTGCTTGAGTGACGGGATCTTGTGGGATCTATAAAGAGTGAGGGGCTGTCTAGTGTAGAAGAATCACCCTGGATTACAATCAAAGGAATTTAATGTACATCTGCCAGGGTTTTCTGAGCAATTTTCCTGAATTACAGGTAGTTCTCAATTTACAACCATTTCGTTTATTGACCAAAGTTACAACTGCGATGAAAAAAGTGACTCTATGATCATTTTTTACGCTTATGACTGTTGCAGCATCCCCATGGTAACATGATCAAAATTCAGACACTTAGTAACTGGCTTATATTTAGGATGGTTGCAGTGTCCCAAGGTCATGTGAACACCTTTTGTGGCTTTCCGACAAGCAAAGTCACTGGGGACGCCAGCTACACTTAGTAATTGTGTTACTAAATTAACAACTGCAGTGATTCACTTACCAACTGTGGCAAGAAAGTGGGACAAAATTCACTTAACGGTTTCTGTTGCTTAAGCAACAGAAATTTGGGGCTCTATTGTAGTTGTAAGTTGAGGACTACCTGTAAAGCAATAAGCATTGTAACAAAACGGTATCATTATATTTTATGCATATCCTTTCTTTCTATGCATCCCTTTAGGATACCCTGGAAATGTGCACCAAGGAAATTGAGTTTAAGTGCATTCTCTTTGCCCTCTGCTACTTCCACGCAGTGGTAGCAGAACGGAGGAAATTTGGAGCGCAAGGTTGGAACAGGTCTTACCCCTTTAACAATGGAGATCTCACCATTTCCATCAATGTCCTGTATAATTACCTGGAAGCTAACGTGAGGGTAAGATTATTTGATTGCTCATTTGCATGCTAATGCTGTTATAAAATAGTAATTAAATCTCTGCTTCCCCAATGACTTTATTAACGAACTAGATTTGTGAGGAATAAAGAAACATGGAATAAGGCATGTATCATTGTGGATAGCATGCTTTCTTTTTGAGGGGAAGACTGTCAGGGCTTCTGGACTTTGTCAAAAGGACTTATCCACTTTTTAACATGAAACTGCTTCAAATGAAGTAGACTTCCAGCAACTGAAAAGCAAAACATGTGTGTTTCTGCAATATAGAAGGTCAGTATAATAGAATCATTTTACTTCCCTCAAAAGCTGTTCCAGATTCCTGTTGTAATCCATCCAATTTCTATGGCGTTATATAGGTAAGAATGGGAGGAATGAACCTATAACACTTTCTCTGGTTACAAGGGTATCAATGTGACCCAAAGTGTATATGTAAGACCAAGGGTGGGTTCCTGCCGGTGTTGCTACCGGTTCAGAGCGCAAAAATGTTTGCATACGAGCACTCATTTACCCATGCGCATGCCAGACGTGCGCTCCATGCACGTGCACATTTGCACCTAAAATGGTCTGTGCATGCACACATTAGAAAAGGAAGAAAAATATTTTTTTCAATGAAGATTGAAAAAATCAAGATGGCAGCCCCCAAGGATAGAACTGGTTCAGGCGCATATCCGGCGAAGTTACTACCTACTCGGCCAAATCGGGCTGAACCGGTAGGAACCGACCTCTGTGTGAGATGCAGACTCCCAATACATACACTTTTTATGGTACCCTATTTTCCCCAAAATAAGACCTCTGTGGATAATAATTCCAATTGGGCCTTTGAGCGCATGCGCTAAAATAAGCCCTCCCCAAAAAATATTGCAACACAGCAGCAATTTCAATTTTCAATTTACTTTATTTGTATGCCGCCCTTTTCCCTGAAGGGACTCAGGGCGGCTCACAGTTCAAGGGAGGGGAAAAACAGACAAAATTACAAAACATAAAGACCATACACAGTTAAAAAGCACAGCAATCATACCATTCGAGTGAGTCTATCATAATGTCTATGATAGATTCATACTAAGAAAAATAATATGCAATATTTGATTGTGTGAAGATTTCAGCAAGCACTAAAATAAGCAACTGGAGTTGTCATGTATATGTCCTGTATAAGATTACAGAGAAGCAAAAAAAAAAAAAATA